CCAGAGGGGAACTCAGGGAGAGAGACAGGGTGGGGCTGTGGGTTTCCACACCTGACTGGCTGCAAAGTGTGAAAATCAAAGTTACACCCACCTGGCCAGGATGCTGGTCATCTGGCTGCACATGCAGAGCGAGGGGTCTCTGTGGGCCCCTGCTCTCTCTGTAGGGACCCCTCTTATAGTACCTATCGTGCAGCATATTCTCCAGATAGGCTGGGACCTCTGGTCTCAAGTACAGAGGAGGTGCCACCTCTTCTTAGTTCCCTCCTTAGATGGGGGTCCCAATTCCAAGTGAGCCCATGCAGGGACAGCAGTAGCAGTGTGAGCCTGTGGAAGTGGAGGATGCCTGTCCCACCTAATGGCATTCAGATTCCCAGTATTCGCAAAACCCTGTGCTGGTTTGTGACTCCTGATTCCAACCTTTAGCGTAACAATTCTCATGTGGAGGGGCTGCCAGAATGGGCTGAGTGTGCGTGGGGGAGGAGTTCAAACCAGCCTCCATGTTCTGAAATGTCCCCCCTCTGACCCCGTTGCTCCACTGCTCCCACCCCAGTCTGGATTAAGTGCCTCCTCTGGGGTCCCAAAATATCCAGGCCATCTCATTACCCCAACCACATTGTATGATAATCTGTGGAAGGGTCTGGGTTCATCTCGGCCATCAGTCAGCCCCTGGAGGCAGGAGTTATATTTTATCTACTCCTCTACCCCCAGGGCCTGGCACACAGTAGTTAATTGAATGAAGTGGGGTCCAGGTGTGGCCCCCGGCTCATAGTGCACATATGAGAGCCTGGTGAAAGGTTGGCTTCAGTGCCCCTCCCTGCCTGTTAGTCATCTGGACAGACCACACAGGGCAGTGGGCTTCAGATGGCCCCTGGGAAGATGCTGGATATTCTCTAGGAGAGCAAGGAGGGCCAGAAAGACTCCTCACTTTAGCATATGAGTGCTATATAGGGAAGACCCTGGGAGCCTGATTACCCAGAGTGGAGGACGGCTGGGGAGTGGAGCAGAGTGAGGGAGGGGACTTAGTGACTGTCAGGGGCAACCAAGGGCCATAGAGCAGGTGGAGCCCCAGACAGGTGCTGGGAGGCGAGATGCTGTAACAACAGCCCAGGTGACCTGATCAACTCTTTGTCTTGTGGACCTGGTTAGCAAGAATGTGCTTGTGCGTCAGGAGGACCATCTATTTCAGGGATGACAAAACTGCTTCTGGCCCTTTGAGCCCTCAGGCTTGGCCTGGAGCTGGTGTCCTCACAGCCCCACACTCTGCCGGCTCCTTGGCAGGAGTGTGCTTCTGCCAGGTGCAAGTGTGGGTGGCGGAAGGAGGGGGTGTGCCAGCTGTGGCCCAGCAAATGCTGGTGCCCGAGGGGCTAGTGCAAGGTGCAGCAGGTGAGACAGTGGACAGACAGACCTTGGCCCATCAGAAGGAAGTACTTTCTAACAGGGGCACCAGATCAGTTTTGTTCACACACACACTCATAGACACACTCACTCACTATATTAGTTTGCACTTCTATACAAATACCTGAGACTGGTAATTTATAAAGAAATGAGGTATAATTGGCTCATAGTTCTGCAGGCCGTACAGGAAGCATGGCAGCATCTGCTTCTGAGAAAGCCTCGGGGAACTTTGACTCATGGTGAAGGCAAACTAGAAGCAGCTGTCTTACATGGTGGGAGCAGGAGGAAGAGGCAGTGAGGGTGGGTAGGGGAAGGTGCTGCACACTTTTAAATGCCCAGATCTCATGAAAACTCTATCACTAGAACAGCACCAAGGAGATGGTGCTAAACCATTCATGAAGGATCCACCCCCATGATCCAATCACCTCCCACCAGGCCCCACCTCCAACACTGGGGATTACAATTGCACATGAGATTTGGATAGAGACATGGATGCAAACCATGTCACGCACGCACCCTCTGACACTTACACCCACACACCCAGTCACTCAGCTCCAACCCTCTGCCTTTACTGGCTGGGCCTTGGTTGTATAGAATGGATGCTAGATTTGGGCCTAGGGGAGGTAGAATTTCTAAAATGGCCCACACAGATGTCCCTCCTTAATCTGCAGATGCGGTGAATAAGATGAGTGAATATCATCACTCCTGTGATGATGTTATGGAACATGGCACAACTGACCTTAAGATGGGGGTTTATTGGTAGGCCTGATTTAATCCCATGAGCCCTTAAAAATAGAGAGCTTTCTGAGAGTAGGAGGGGAGGGCAGAGAGAGTCAAAGCAACAGCACAATGACCACTCTTGGCTTTGGAGATGAAGGGGGCTATGTGCAGGGATTGGCATGAGGTCAGTAGGAGTTGAGAGTGACCCCTGGTCAAAGCCAGCAAGCAGCCTGGGACTTCAGCCTTATGGCCACTAGACCTGAATTCTGCCAACAACTGGAATGAACTTGGAAGTGAATTCTTTCCCAGAACCTCCAGACAAGAGCACAGTGTGGCTAACATCTTGATTTTGGCCTTTTGATACCCTGAGCATAGAGCCCAGCCAAGCCCACCCAGACTTCTCACCTATAGAACTGTGAGCTAATAAATGGCTGTTGTTTTAAGCCATCAAGTTTGTGGCAATTTGTTCTGCAGCAATAGAAAACAAATCCAGGGTCATCCTTGGGCTCCACACAGCTTTTCCAATTTTCTGAGATACAAGCTGTGGTTAACTTCCAGTTCTTCCAAGCCCAAGGGGAGTGAGCCCTGAGGAGTTAGCCCATCTGTGGCTAAACCTATCCCTCGTGCCTGCAAAGTCTGAGCTCCCGGCCTGCAGATGCTCTTACGTGACAATCTGGAGCTCATCTGAAGACCAAGGTTGTCGCCATAATGGATATCCCCAGGAAGGAGAATTCTTTGGGCACCAGTTTGTGGGGCCTAACTTCCTCACTGGGGCAGAAGAACATTCCCAGGATAAGCCTGGTAGGCCGTTGGCTTAGGCAGCCTCCCAGCATTTGGGTTGTAGTGTTTGTGTGTGTGTGTTTTAACCTTTCTTAGCTGTTGCTCACCTTAGATGTCACCTGTTGCTTCTTGTTGGTAGGGCCAGACCTCAGGCAGCCTTGGCTAAGGCATTTGGGGGTGAGGTTGCATGGAAATAAAAACAGTGATCTGGCAGGCATTTGAGCGACACAGAAACCAGAATCTCATGCATCTCAGCTGAGGTCAGAATGTGTTGGGGAGCCCGAAGTAATGACTCTTCCTCTGGGTGTGAACATCCAAAAGATGCCAAAGGGAGAACCTCATCCTCAAGGTGAATCCGCCTGTGAGGAGTGACTGACAAGGTGGCATCCCTGGGGCAGGATGCTTGACTGAGCTCCATTTGATGGAGGACAGACCAGGGAAAGCTGAGGCTGGGGGCTCCCAGGGCTCAGGTTGAGTTTCCCGAAGCAGCCCAGTGCGTCTCTTAGCAAGACCAGAGGCAAGGGGAAGGTAAATTCCTGAAAAGGAGCCACCTCTGTCTTTCAGGTTAAAATAGCCTTGTCCCAAAGATGTGATAACACGGTATAGGCAGGTGAGAACCAGAGGAACATGGCAAGCACTGGGTGTGTAAACACAGGAGGAAAACTGTGGTTCTTGAAAACTCGTCAGTGAGGAGACCTGGCCACAGGCCAAGAGGAGGAGAGCTGCTTCCAGGTGAGCCCTGAAACCTATTTGGGGATCAACCGATTTCTCCAGGCCTGTAGGTATCACACTAGTACCTGGGAAGGAGAAGGGCTCTGGTGGGTCACAGTTGTTACTAAGTCCTTGCTAGTGGCTGTGGTTGTGGTAGAATAAGCACTTAGGAAGCTACTGGGCCCATGGCACAAGGTAGGGCAGGTAATTAACTGGTTTCTGGCATTGGGCACTGTGGGCTGGCACCGTGGGGAGGCCGGGTTCCACTGGAGGCAGAAAGAAACATGAGGTGGAAGAAGAGTACTGATGGCCTCATCTTAATGCTGGGTAATTCTCTTCCTGCAGAAGAGACTTGCGGTGACATCATGTGATGTTTATTTCATGAATGAGGAAGGTGGAGTCATCACAAATCAGCCTTGCAAATAAGCATGGGCTTGTGGCATTTTAAACCAACCTTGGGCCCAAGAGCCAGTGTACTCATCTTTTGGTGCCAAGGCAACAGGTCCAGAGGGACCTGCATTTGGTGCTGATCAATCCCTCTCCCCAAACAGAGGTACATATCTGTGCTTGCTCCAGCAGCGGCAGCCAGGATGGCACATGGCAGGCTAGAGGAGGGAGCAGCAGGGGTGGAGGCTGGATGGAGCAACCACTGTGCCGTGTGACTTTGTGCCAGCCCTTTCCTATCTCTGGGAAAGTGTCTGTGAGAAGCAGGCTGATCTTGTAGATCTCCTTGGCACCCAGTAGGTCTGCTGCCCGCCATGGGGCCTATGATGCCTGTAAGCTTGGATGGCGGTCGCTAGTCCACGGGGGTCCTGAGCACTCTCTCTACTTCTTCGTAAAACAAGGAGATTGGACTCATTGAGCATCCCTGTCTCTTCTGGCTCCAATGCCCCAAATGTCTAACTGTGTGAAGTGCAGTGTGCTTGTCTCTCTGTGACCCTATTCCTGGTCCTTTCTGAGACTGTTCATATGTTGGGACTGAGAGTTTGTGTTATCTGAAGCTAGCATGCTGTCCACACTGTGGGGAAAGCCCACATGATTTGCTATTGTCCTCCCCTCTAGTGCCCTGTGGTTTTAGAGCCCATGCAGTGTGGTCTGCCATTTGTCTGTCTGTCTCCTGGGGCATTTGCCTGCTTTAATCTTCTGTGGGCTGTGCAAACAGCCCTGAGTGGTGCATGGTGACCACAGGTAGGGGTGTCTGGAGGGCTGTGTTCTATCTCATGCAGACATGTGTAAGAGGAAGGCATGAATAATTAGAAACTTCTTAATGGTAGGGCCAGCACCAGTGATTAATCATAGCAAAATTCTCCTGCCACACACATAGCAAAGAGTCTTTATCACTCGCCCCAATTAGCTGCTGATGTCTCCCACTTTTCCTTGTCCTTGGCTCTTAGAAAGAAAAGTTTCAAGATGATTCGGTCCCAGTCCCTGTCTCTGCAAATGCCGACACAGCAAGATTGGAAGGGCCCCCCGGCAACCAGTCCGGTCATGTCTCCCACAACCCCTGTGGTCACTGGAGCCACTTCCCAGCCCACGCCAGCACCCTATGCCATGCCTGAGTTCCAGCGGGTCACCATCAGCGGAGATTACTGTGCCGGGGTAAGGCGTCGGTGGGAGTGTTGAATGTGCCTTGCGTGCAGAGGCCAGGGGCCCCGTGGGCCACAGGGTCGTGCCCACCTCTGGAGCCTGGTCCTGTCCGTGGGTGTCTGGGAGAAGGTAAAGAGGAGGCACAGGAGGCAAGGAGGGTCCTAGCAGAGGTTGTGGGGTGTGGGTGTGGTGTCTCAGTGGCTGCCTGTTCCCTGTGAGGAGGGCCCCGGGGTGCAGGCTGGCACACTGTGTCTGTGGCTTGTAACTTCCACATGTTCTCTAAGTCTAGAAAGCTGGAATTGGTCCCTGTAGCCCGATGAGAAAGGTGCCAGCTTGGGCCTTTCGGTGTTGCCAAATGTTTAGTAGATTCAAAGTCATGGTACTGAATGGTTTGTGTGAAATTAGTTGTTGCTAAATCATCTCTTCTTACATGTAGGTTCAGTACCCTTAAATATAGGCTAGATTCCCTCAGCTGGGAAGAGAGAATCTTGTTTAGAAATTGAGCAAATTGGTTTACACTAAGTGAGTTAATGCAGTCACTGAAAATGTGCTAATTTCACCTGATTGGATGATGCATTTTTTATGCATGCCTACTTCTTGGAGAGAAATATCACTGAGTTAGTGCCAGGGTTAAGTTTGGCTCCAGTGCCCTGGCCCCAACTCACTACTTACGCCTCAGTTGGCTTCATTAGTCTCTCTTTTTAACAGTAGCTGAGAAAATATGGTGAATCTGAGACAGCAATGCAGCTTATTGCTCTTCCTATAAAATTTCCCCTAGCTTTCAAAAGTTTTTTGGTTATATGTAATGGTGAACACTTGCATATGGTACAAAATTTAAAAGATACAAAAATGGTATCAATTCACCCATTCTCCTCCTCAGAGGCAACCATTAGTTTTGGTTTCTTATGTATTCTCACATATATGGTCTATGTACCTACAATTATTTATGCATACATAGTTTATTTACTTATTTTTACAAAAATCGTAGTTTACAATATACATTATACTGCATCTTGCATTTTCCACTTAACAATACATCTTAAAGATAATGCCGTATCAATATGTACATAACTTCTTTGTCCTTTTAAAAAATATGTACATAGTATTCCTTTGTGAGGATGTATCGTAGTTTATTTTAATTAAGTTCCCATGGTTGGGAGTTTAGATTGGATTGAGAAAAATGCAGGCCTTGTCTGGAGATTAGCGTCTTGACCATGAGTCTTTGGTGTTCACCCAGCCTCAGGCAGGTGGGCAGAGCATTGGAAAGCAAGAGTCGAGGTGGGCCGACCACCAGCTGAACGGGAGGACATCAGCCCGTACCATGTACTAACATGTACTAGCTTCTTTCTCCTAGTCTCCTGGCTGGCACAGAGTAGTACATGGAGCACCTGAACTGGGCAATTGGTCGTCAGAAAGCTAAGTGTCCATGAGAGGCAGGCTGATCTTGCAGATTTCCTGGCAGCAGTAGGTCTGCTGCCAGCCATGGGTCTTGTGATGCCTATAAGTTTGGCTGGTGGCCACTAGTCCACAGGGGTCCTGAGCATCCTCTCTGATGTCCTTAGCCATGGCCTGAGCCCCTGTCATGCTGAGTCCGTTGGTTGCCCAGAGAAAGTGTTTGGCTTTGTTGTTGGCTGGGACGTATTTTTGTCTAAGATGTCTGTGTTTGCTCACCTATTCCTGCTGCTCTCAGAAGCCATCCACTGGCAGGTATAAAAGGAATTAACATACCCTATGGGGACATTTAGAGGCAGGAAAGGAGAATCTACCACCGTAACAAAAAGCAAGAAGTAGTATTTAGTAAAAGTATAAAAACATCCATAGGAAAAATATATTCAGACTTCTTCCCTCTGAGGATGGGGTAGGGAGGAGGGTAGAGTTTTAGCTGTATCTGTGATGATTTATTTCTTTAAACTTGTGAGAAATTTGAAAGAATTATGCTAAATATTAATATTGTCAGCTCTAGAAGGTAGATTATATTATCTTTGGTGCCTGTGTGTATGTTTAAAATATTGCAAAATTTAAAATGATGATTTTATTAAAGCAGAGGGGAACACTTTCAGGCCCCAGCCCTCCCCACTCTGGGCTATGCCAGCATGTGGTGCTTCCCTCTGCTGCACCGCTTACCCTGCATTATGTCTGTATGGCCACTTGTCTCCCCAAGCATTTTTCTGTGATTCTCATCCTTCCCAAACAGATTAAGATTAATGAGCCCATTGGAAGGTGGGAATTGATCTCATTCATCTTTGAATATGAGGCTGCTCTGATAAAGCAGAACATCCTTAGACTTTGGGACTCAATCAGGTTAGAGTCTGAAATTTGACTTTGTAGCTTCGCAAGTGATTTATCCTCCCTGGGCCTCAGTTTTCCCATTTGCAAAATGGGTTGCAGTAAGGAGCAAAATGAAATCTATGGAAAGGTCTGGCACATAACACATGACAATGGGTCTTGTGGCCTGGATGAGTTGGGTGATTAACAGATTTAATCAGAAGTGTGGGGTTGGCAAAGAAGCAGGCTGAGCATGCAGAATTTGCTTTTGCTTTTTGTTTTGTTTCGACATATGAAGGACACATGAATTTTATCAACTGAAAATGATGGCGCTCATCGCCTTCAGGGGTAGGACTCAGGCTTTGTCCCTTCATGGGCCTGGTGCAAAAACAGACTTTTGGCTTAATTAGCTGAATGTGAAGCCAGCTTCTGGGTGTGCAGGCTGGAGCACTTGTCTCTCTTCCAACGACCCTCACTCCTCCTGTGTCTCCTGTGTTGGGGGTCTCCAAGACCATTCCCAGGTTGGATGATTCACCAGGAGGACTCACAGGACTCTGCATATAGCTGTACTTCCAGCTTTCATTTATTACAGTAAAGGATACAGAGCAAATCAGCAAAGGGAGAGATACTTGGAAGATACGAGGTGCAAGCTTCCAAGGTCCTCTCCCAGCGGAGTCATCAGAACATACCGAATACCTTCAGCATCACATTGTGACAGCACACGTGGGAAGTGTTGTTTACCAGGGAAGCTCATTAGAGATTCCGTGCCCAGGGTTTTCACTGAGGCTGGTCACACATCTGCATAGCAGATCTCAAATTCCAGGCTCCCAGAAGGAAAGCAGGTGTCCAACGTGAACCATATTGTTTGCACAAACAGTTTAGGTGCAGTGAACCACTCTTACTGGTCAGGGAGTGGTGAGAACCCTCCTGAAATCCAGGTTCCCAGATACCAGGCAAGGGCCAGTCTTACAAGCACGTCTTTCCAAGGATGGCAGTCTCAGGCCTGCTGCGTGAACCCTTTCCTGCCTGCCTCCCTTCTGCAGATCACTTTGGAGGACTACGAGCAGGCAGCCAAGAGCCTGGCCAAGGCCCTAATGATCCGGGAGAAGTATGCAAGGCTCGCCTACCACCGCTTCCCGCAGATCACATCGCAGTACCTGGGTCATCCGCGGGCAGATACTGCACCTCCGGAAGAGGGCCTTCCAGGTACAGGGCTCTGGCTGGAGGTTGGGTCCCAAGTGTGGGTGGACCGAGAGCTACTCAGGGCTTTTTGCTGGCTTGATCTATTTCCCCTGATGGTATTTTAAGAGGACAGTGTTCTTGCATTGACTTCTCCCACACTGATGTTTGATGGTTCCCCCAAGGATTGATTGTATATGTACTGTATGCCTCACCTGTGCAGAGCTGAACTGTTGAAGTTAAGAGAGAGAAGTAAAAGACAGTCCTTGTTCTTGGGAGTCCATCAGGGAGACAGGCAGTCTCATGTGGGATTTTTTTTTTTTTGAGATAGGGTCTTGCTCTGTTGCTCAGGCTGGCATGCAGTGGTACAATCACTGTTCACTGCAGCCTTAATCTCCTGGGATCAAGCAATCCTACCACCTCAGCCTCTCGAGTAGCTGGTATCCAAAGGCACACACTACCACACCCACCTAATTAAAAAAATATTATTATGTTTTGTAGAGATGGGGGTCTTACCATGTTGCCCAGGCTGGTCTCAAACTCCTGGACTCAAGTGATCCTCCTGCCCTGGCCTCCCAAAGTGCTGGGATTATAGATGTGAGCCACTGTGCCTGGCCTCATGTGGCATATTTAAAAGAACACAATCACACAGTAAATGCCAAATTGGTGGTAGGGTGGATTGGGGAGGGAGTAGGAACAGAGGGCATGTTCCCTGGGAAGATGATGTAGGCTCTGGTGTCAAACACAGCTGCATTTGTATCTGGCCTCCATCAATTTCTTGGGATTTGGGGAAAGATATTTCTCCAAGCCTCACTTTGTAAAATGTAATCTATAAAATGGAAATGCAAATAATATCTGTCTCCAAGAGCTGTCGTGAGGATTAAACAAGAGAATGCATGTCAAGTACTTAGTTCAGTTCTGGCATCTAGTGAGTGTTCAGTAAGTGGTAGCTGCATTTATGCTGCCGAGTTCAGGGAAGGGGAGATCGGAGAGGGCTGGGTGGTTTCCTCATGAAGCCTCGCCGTGAAGGACCTAACAGCAGTAGGGGCGGTAATGAGGACAATAGGAAACCCCACTCCTGAAAGTTGGTGGTGGGGGGACACATAAGGGCCCTGGTGGTCTCCATCAGTGCCTGGGATCCTGGCTGCCTCTGGGGGTAGCTGGTGGTGCCAAGTTGCTCCAGTCTCTGGCTTCCTTGAATTTCAAGTCCTGTATTTTGAGCATCTGGGGCCTGAGGTAAATTTCAGCCCTTTGGGTCCATTTCCCTATCTGAGGGAAGTGGATCCTACCATCTCGGTTTTGGCAAAGACAGAAATGACTGTCAAATGTGTACTTTACGTGGACAGAGGACCCCCGTGTTCTGGGCATGAGTATGGGGAAGAGGAGCAACTTCCGAGTGTGCAGGTTGTAGCTTTACCTGGAGCTTGAACTGCCTGCATCTCGCAGACTGCTACACGCATTAGGGCCTCCTGAGCTGGCCTGTGACCATACCTGATGGGGCACGTCCCTCTCCACCTCTGCCTGCATCAGCCCCTTTGTGGCTCCTTACATGTGCTCTAGGGATGGCCTGTTCCTTCCAAGCATGGATGGAGGAGGCCCAGGCAGGTCACTCTGCCTTGGCAACTTCCTTTGATGCAGATCTTGAGGTTTGCTCCTGCCTATGCCGGCAGCTGAGCAGCTGATCCTGGATGGTGCCGACTGAGCTGCATGGAGTTGAAGCCTCCAGCTCTACTGATATTTAGCATCAATACATTCCTTAGGGACAGAGTTTATCAAGGGTCAGGAAAACTAATTATGAGAATAATAAGAATAATATCCTATAATTCATTATTCGTAGTACATTACTCTTTATGAAGAATTTTCTATACACACTATTGCAACCCTCACAGCAGCCTGTTAAGGCAAGGGATGTTATCTTCAGATGAGGAGACAGGCTCAGAGAGGTAAAGGAGTTTGCTGAAAGTCTCACAGCAGGGAAATTGCATAGAGGAGTTTTCTGCCTCCTGTTGGCTAATTCTAACCTTAACCTATAGTGGTGGGGAGCAGATGGCTTTATCATTGACATTCCCCGCTCTGAGGGAGACACGTTCCCTATCCTTTGCTCCTTTGGGGAGGGAGTAGCTTCTTTAGCCCCTCAGCTGGCCTGGGCCCAGGACAATTATTTCCACTGGGTAGTCCAGGTGCAATCTGTTCTCTTCCTGGGAGAAGACACTGCTGCCCTTCTTAATATTCCTGGGATCTCTGAAGTGCTGAGGAAAATGAAGCCCATTTCAGTTAACTTTTAAAAAATTGTTGAAGTGCTAGCCATGTGCCAGGGACTGTTCTAGACACGTAGCAGTAAACAGCACAAATTAGTCTCTGCCTGCATGGAGTTTCTATTGGAGTGGAGAAGACGTCACATCTGAGATAAAGAAGTGACATGGTTTGACATGGTGGTAAGTGCTGGGAAGGAAGCAGGGAAGAGCGTATCAGATGCGGGGCCGGTGTGGGGTTGGATTTTGGGCGGGAAGACCAGGGCAGGCCTCCGTGTCTTTTGAGCCCATGGGGGGCACTTTGCCATTCCTCAATCCTGTTTTGCAGACTTCCACCCTCCTCCACTGCCCCAGGAAGACCCCTACTGCCTGGATGATGCACCGCCCAACCTGGATTACTTGGTCCACATGCAGGGGGGCATTCTCTTTGTGTATGATAACAAGAAGATGCTGGAGCGCCAGGAGCCGCACAGTCTGCCCTACCCCGACCTGGAGACGTACACAGTGGACATGAGCCACATCCTGGCTCTCATCACCGATGGCCCCACGTAAGCCAGCTTCTCTGCGGCTGCCTTTCTTTGCACAGGTGCTGTTCTGTAGGAAGGAGATAAGAAAGGCCTTACCCCTCTGCCCTGGGGTCCTCTGTACTTAAAGCATCCCAGAAAGAGTGCGGTTTCTCCTTTCCTCAGTGCTTTGTGGGTTTCTGCAACAGTTTTCCTTCATAGGCTGGCATAGCCTTAGACGTGGTACTCCCTGTCCCCGCCTCCTTTTCTTTTTGAGACAGCATCTTGCTCTGTTGCCCAGGCTGGGGTGCAGTGGTATGATCTTGGCTCACTGCAGCCTCTGCCTCGCGGGTTGAAGTGATTCTCTTGCCTCAGCCTCCCGAGTAGCTGGGACTACAGGCATGTGCCACCATGGCTAATTTTTATTATTTTTAGTAGAGACAGGAGTTTCGCCATGTTGCCTAGGCTGGTCTCAAACTCCAAAGCTCAGGTAATATACCCAACTCAGCCTCCCAAAGTGCTGGGATTACGGGTGTAAGCCACCATGCCCGGCCTCCTTGTCCCCTCTGCATGCATAATGTGGAGCCTCTGCTTGCTGGTGGCCACCCGGGCGCCTCTGAATGGCTGTCATTCCTCTCCCCAGGCAGGACAGCAGCCTTGTAGAGAGTTACCAGCCCAGAGCATAACTGTATTTGGTGAGGAGTGATGAAAACATTGCTTCAGGCCTTGGATTTTCTGGGTTTCTGGAGAGGAGCATGCAGCGAGCCTGGGGAACTTTGCTCATGGGCATGATGCCCCATGATGCTTGTGGGCTTGGCTCCAGCTAACCTGGTGGGCAGCCATCTTTCTGAATTTGGCCCCCTCACTTCTTGGTGGGCACTTAGGCTGATCAGTAATGCCCGGACCCTGTGAGCCTCAGAGTGGCTGTGCTGGGAGTGGGAGTCTGGGTGAGGGGAGGTGCTGGTCACTCCTGAGGACCTTCTCTCTGGTTTTCTGGGAATCCTGTGATGCCAGTCTCCAAAGTGGCATAGTGAGCCCAAGGTTGATGGGCAGCATGACTCTTAGTCCTCCCTGATCTGAGGGCAGAACTAAGGCATGGGAAGGGCAGGGGCGATTCCTCAGAGGCTGTCCTCAGCCAGGTGTGCAGGCAGTGGCTGTCCCATCTGGGAGGTTGTGAGGATCCTGCCTGGGGAGAGAGACTGAGTGAGGCGGCGTTTAAACTCCCTTCCGACTCTGAGGCTGTCCTGTGCTCCGTCCACTCTGGGGCTTGTCTGGGCAGATGGATGACTGTGCTGTTGCAGCGCTGACAGATGCTCTTATGGAAGTCTAGGTGATTAGATGCCAAGGAAGCTGCTGTTTGTTCTGGTGGCACAAGGAAGCAGGGTAGCATGAATTGTGGTCAAAGGTTCTGTGTGGCTGTGGATGCAGGTGTGTGGCTAGGCACCTGGGCTGGATGTGGGCTGGTGGTTGGCCACAGCAGTGAGCATCCCCTTCCCCAGTGGCCTTTACTGGCTGATAAATCATAAAAACCCCTTCTCTGAGTTGGTGGGAATCTGGGGGCATCAGTCCTTACAGAGATTTCTGTCTTGGTAACAAATATCCCTACAGTCCCAACCTGCCCATGATGCAAAACATCCTCCTCTTGTCGTGAAGCCTCAGAGTTGAGAGGTCCTTGGGCCATGGCCATTAGGTCGGGGGGCTGGTTCCTCTGCAACCCAAGGTGGGCAGGTCATGCCTTGGAGTTTGACTGTCTTATCAGTCCTCCGGGCAACAAATTCCTTCTTCAAGGAATGACAAGTGGCTGAGGATAGAAAAGAGGAAGGAAAGGAGGGGATGAAGGAGGGAGGCCTCCACTGAGTGTCCACTGTGCTTGGAGCCAGGCCCTTTCCCAGGCGTAAACCAGTTTAACCCTTACTTCAGCCTTGGGTGTTACCACCTGATATTTACTTATGGGAAATGGAGGCTTGCGGTTAATTCCCTAAACACATAAACTAGAAGTCAAAACACCTGTATGAGGTCCCAGAGCTGGCCTGCTATTGCCCCATCTCCTGACTCTCCACTGACTTTATAGAGTCTGTGGTGTGACTCAACAGTTCAGCAGGGTCTGCAGAAAGCCGGAACCTCCTCATTCTACCCTGCTCCATCCTGACCCTTCCAGCCAGGGTTGGCCCCTGCAGATGCTGGGGGCCTCCAAACTGGAGAGCTCGATGTGACTTCTGCTCAACTATGGTCTCTCCCCATCTCCAACTTGCAGGAAAACCTATTGTCACCGACGACTGAACTTTCTGGAATCCAAGTTCAGCCTTCATGAGATGTTAAACGAAATGTCTGAGTTCAAAGAGTTGAAGAGTAACCCCCACCGGGACTTCTATAACGTGAGAAAGGTGCGTTAGGGGCCAGTGTTCACAGCTACCCCTCCCGGTCCCCCTCCCAGCCCATGGGATGCCCTGAGCCAGTCTGAGGTTTGTCCCCTGTGAGAACGTCAGGGCTCCTGGCTAAGGGCCGCCTTTGTGGCCAGAGGGGTATGAAGCATACATGCAGAAGGAAGATGGGTGAGCTATGTTTGTGTCAGGCTGGGTCTCAGACAGCACTTGAATCACTCTAGGTGGAAACCTTTGTCCTCATTGTATATCTGTTGGGATGTGCCCTCTTCCTTGGAAAATGGGGCACAGCCTATTAATTGGTCATAAAAGTTGAGCACAGCCTACTTTTAAGGTGGGGGATGTATGAGAGTCATCAAGGAAAGACACAGCTGTAAAGATCTCTTTGGTCCCCTCCTTGTGTCCACGTGTTCTCATTGTTCAGCTCCCTTATGAGTGAGAACATGCGGTGTTTGGTTTCTCTGTTCCTGTGTTAGTTTGCTGAGGATGATGGCTTCCAGCTGGGCTTAATACCTAGGTGATGGGTTGATAGGTGCAACAAACTACCATGGCACACATTTACCTATGTAACAAACTGGCATGTTCTGCACATGTATCCTGGAACTTAAAGTAAAATAAATAAGTTAATAAAATAAAATTTAAATTCCCTGAAATCTCTCTGGAGTTGGGAGTTTGTGGTTTTGCATCCTTCAGGATCATGTGGATTTAAAGAAGAGTCTCCGATATGCTCAGATCTCTGCCTCTCTTCTCCCACCGAGGTTATGGCAGCCTTGCCTGGGGCTCCTGGCAGTCTTCGCCTGCAGGGGCTGCAGCTGCGGTAGGAGTGAAGGTTAAATGATCGTGGCCCCAGCCTTGCTATTCTCTTCTGCTGAAGCGCTGTGCAGTGAGGCATAGGGTCAGTGCTAGGCAAGGGGCGTTTGATGGTGAGCAAGAGTCACTTCCTGTCAACCAGGTGGTTTGAGGGAGAGGCCAGAACTGAGCTGGCTTAGAGTGAGTAGGAGCTTGCCAGGCAGAGGGTGTGGTAGGGGAATGGAAGTGGTGGCATTCCAGGTAGAGGCACGTGATGTGCAAATGTCAGGAGGGAGGGATGATATGAGAGAGTCAAAACAGTGCGTTGACATAACTGCAAGCAGTGCAGTGTGGCTGGAGCACAGTCATCGGGAGCAGGGAGCAGTGGGTTGTGGGGAGAGTAAGGCTGCAGATATGTGGGGAGGTCCTGGATCATGCGGGGGCTACGGGTTTCCCACAGAAGGCAGGGAGGTGGGCTGGGGTGTGTGGTGAGCTGGGAGAGAAGCTCCTTGGGGAAGAGTGGGGATCAGGCTTTGCTTGGAGGAGGGATGGCCAAAGCTGAATGGAGTCACAGTGGGGTTGTCATCTCCACAGGAGCTCTGTCCCAGCTGGGACCTCCTGGGGACTTCTTCTTTTTGGGGTCAGCTTTGATAAGGGAAGGTAGGCCAGGGGAGGATGTGGCTCCTCTGGGAAAGCCCAGCTCTAGGCTCCCTGACCTCCTGACTGGGAGCACTCAGCAATGCAGATGGAAGACCATATCTGGAGGCCCTAAGCCGACTTCTGTTACACGTCAGGGGGTCCAACACAGACTCCCACTTGGATGGGGTCAAGAGCTTTAAGAAGTGTTTGGCTTCAGCTCATGTGCCCTGAGAGGCTTACGGAAGTGTCTTGGCGATTTCCAGGCAGAAGTGAAAGGTGTTTTAGACACCACTTACGTGGGCACCCTGGCATTTTTACCTTCAAGCACCATTTGTTCCTTCTCTGTGAGCCTTAGGTGTTCAGACACGTGGATGTCTCTATCACTATGTGAACGCCTCTCAGCCCTGCCCAAAGAACTTCACATGCCTAGCACATGCCCAGGCCCATGTCCAAAGAAACGCCTCTCCCAGCCCGTTGCAGTCCTGTCCCGCGCATACGTGAATGCCCTGGGCTTACCTGCTTCCTGCTGCCTGGGGCCAAGGTGTCCTTACTGACTGTGCTGGCACTGACACTGTTTGCTTCTAAGGTGGGGCCCCCGTGGGTGTTCCTGGGTCTACCAACTGCTCTCTGGTCACAACATGAGAATGAGTCCTGGTGTGGGGCTAGGGTAACAAATCAGAGCCTATCCCCAGGGTTCTCCTGCAGTCTTGGGGTTAATGTTTTCTCTGGACAGAGACGACCTTGATACCTACGACACAGTGGCCTGTTCTTTGGCATGCTGTCAGTCCATAAACATGGGTGCAGGGCTGCTATGAGCCAGGCCTGTGCCCGCCCCTGGGTGCTGCCTACTTGATAGCACTCTCTTTTTTTGGTTTTTTTGAGATGAAGTTTTGCTCTTGTCGCTGGAGTGCAGTGGTGCAATCTCGGCTCACTGCAACCTCCGCCTCCTGGGTTCAAGCGATTCTCCTGCCTCAGCCTCCCAAGTAGCTGCGATTATAGGTGCCTGGCACCACGCCTGGCTAATTTTTGTATTTTTAGTAGAAATGGGGTTTTGCCATATTGCCCAGGCTGGTCCCGAACTCCTAGCCTCAGGTGATCTGCCTGCCTTGGCCTCCCAAAGTGCTGAGATTACAGACATGAGCCACCACACTTGGCCTTGATAGCACTCTCATAGCCTCTACTATGGGGAGGAGAGCTGCTTTCTAAAATCCAGAATGGGCTGGATGGTGGCCTCCATCTGTCTAAAGTGCTGTTGGTGTCCCGGGGGCAGAACAGGGCTGTGGTCTGAGGCAGGAGCTGTGACGTGGCCATGGATCTGTGTGGGTGGTGTCTGTGGAGGGACCCGTCACATTGCAGCAGGTGAAGGGCTGAGATACCCCGAGGCCCAGCCAGCAGGACTGTGTGACCGAGACACTTGTTTTCTATGCAGAAGCAAGATAGAAGGGCTGAGTGTGTTTGCTGCTTGGGAATTGGGTAGAAATAGGTGAGGTCTACTGTGGTTTAAGTGTCATATTAAGAATAGCAAATAGGTTTTATCTTCTGTACTAAACCTGACCAATTAGGGGTAGTTACCAGAGGCCACTCCTAAAGCTTAGTGAAAAGAGTGCTGTCCTCGATTATCAATGCCTGCCATGGGTATGGAAATGGTCAGTGTTGGCTTAGGTCCCAGATTTGGAAACTCTGCTCTTTGTTTACATCTGAATCTTAGGTGAACATGGGGAATGCACTTAGATCCTCTGGTGAATTGAAAACACTGACCTCCAATGACCTTCAATTATTTTGTTCCTAAAATAATCACCCTTGAGATTCTGAAGTTTGGATGGGGTGCTTCCTGGATTGTCCAGTTGTTTTCCTCATTTATCTTGTGACTCACGGGGGTAAGGATAGGCTGACCCCCCTGTGGTGTGTCATTGGTAAGCTAGAGAACAGGATCAGAAAGCCCAGAATCCGCTGAGTCATGCTGAGTTCGTTGCACCAAGCTGTGTCCAGCTGAGCTGAGCCAGGCTGACCTTCTCTTGTGCATCCCACGTGAGCCCAGCCTCATCTCTGAGGAGCCTGGATTTTGGGGATGTTTTAGTTTTCTGCTTTGTTTTGTTTCCCCAATGTCCAGTGGTTTGTCTTTCTGGTAAGAATGGCAAGATTAATGGCAGGAAGGACCCTGATGAGTGAGGGCTGTGGCTAATGACATGGGCTGGCTGGCATAATGCTCACAGAGGTCCAGTGGATCAAATATCTGGTTTGGCATGACTTGGAGATGCTCAGCCAGCCATGGACAGCATTCCCTGCCCTGAGGTCAGCCGCCTCCTCACCCCAGCCCAGGCTGAGCGCCCAGTCGGCCGCAACAGTAGCTCCAGAGTGTGGTCTAATGGCTGTCAGCAGCCTGGCCTGTGAGGCTGCTGTCATCCTCCCCGGGAGCTCCCGTAGGTCCCCTGGGCTCAGGGAGGGGGAGCCAGTTTGCCCACAGTGACTTCAGGCCATCCCTCAGCTTAGCTGGGGCTTCATTTCTCAGGGCTTATGGCTGTCCTGTGAGTGAAGCACAGTGAAAAGGGCGAGTGGGGATGAGGGATGGGGAGATGGGTAGGATCCAGGTAATATTAGCAGAGCCCTCATCCTAAGATTAATGAAGAGGGTTCAGTAACAGAAACAAATTACATTTAAAAAATCCCTTCTAGCTTCTGTGTATGGCGAATGAATTGAACCAGAGCACAAGAAAAAGGAACAAGACCAGTTAGGAGGTCACTGTGAATTCAGGCCTGAGAACATGCAGGCTTGAACTCCCGTGGTGGCAGTGGGGTTGGAGAATATTGTATGGATTTGACATCCATTTGGAAGGCAGAATTGATGAGACTCACTGAGGGAAGGGAGTAGTAGGAAAGCCAAGGATGACTCCCAGTTTTTCAGCGTGACCAACTGGGTTCGGGACACTCCATTTCCTAGGATTCCAGAATCTGGGAGATAATCATCAGGCTTGGGCTGGGGTCAGAGATGAAGAGTCCACTTTTGGATATATTAAGTTTGAACTGCCTTTGGGTTATCCAGATAGAGATGTCAAGTAGGCAGTAGTATGTACAGTTCTGGAGCTTTTGGCTGGTGACATACATTTGGGAATTGGTATAAGTAAAATAATGAAATACACAGAAATGGAACAGATCACCTTTGGAGAGAGTTTATAGTGAGAGGACAAGAGAGCCCAGGACCAGGCATCAAGAAATTCCATTATTAAGAGGTCTGGTAGTGAGGATGAGCTGACTAAGGAGGCTGAAAAGGAGAGGACAGAGATGCAAGGGTTCAGTCTGGTATCACAGGACTTAGCACGATATAGAGGACATATTTCGAGATCTTGCTGGGCTCCTTCTGCAAAGGTGCCTTCTGCAAAAAACTGCCTTTCCCTGCAATGTGGGGAGAAGTCTAAGCTGACTGTTCATTTCTGCTTTTTAGGATTTGCTCTAAGATCTTTGGCCTTGGGCCCCTTGGCTTGAGTCCATATGTTGGCTTAGGGTCACTAGAGCGGCTTCCAGTAGAGTGGCTTCTTCTTGGGACTTGGATGCCCTGGAGTTTGGGTGAGGTGTGACTAGTCAAGGAAGGGTATGTTTCGGGGGTTGGCCTCTAGTGTCTGTTCTCATTCATTCCCACTTGGAGGTTTGCTTTGGGAATGCTCTGAGGGTTCTGAGAGGGATCAATGGGAAGAGTGGGATTTGATGGGCCCTCAGAGTTATCACTGAAACCTTGAGAACCTGTCACACCTCTTAATTTGTTCATTCATTCATCCATTGGTTCGACTTTGTACTAGGCTCTCGGGTAGGTGCTGAAGACTTAGAGGCATTAAACATGGCCTTTGTCCTTGAGGAGCTCCCAGTCTAGTGAAAGAGTAGACATCCAGACATTAGAGTGATCAGGAGGGTCTGCACAGCAATGGGATGCCTGTGCCAGGTTTTGAGGTTGGGCGAGCGAAAGAACATTCAGTTGTGCTTGGTGGAACAAGGTTGGCTCCCAAATGGAGGAGGTTGTGGGAAATTTCTAGGTGGATGAGATGGTGGAGAGAAAGTAGGGCATTCCAGACTGAAGAAACACATAGGCAAAGTGACACAGTGTGCTGTACCTCGGTGTCTTGTGTGCCCGTAAGTGGTTTGTCACAGCTGTAGCACAGAATGGAGCAGTGGCAAGGCGAGAATTAAGGCTTGAAATAAGCCTTGAATCCCAGGCCAAGGCACTTGGGCTGTATCGTGAGGCTGATGGGCCCACTGGTCGTTTGTTGACTGGGGAATGGCCTGATCCAATCTGCATTTTAAAAAGATTTCCTGGTGCTGTAAGGAGGTGGAATGGGCAGCAAGGCTGAAGGGGAGGGATGCTGGTTTCGAAGTCTGAGGAGAGATGCGGAGTGGGATCCAGGCATTGGTGGGGCCGCCCCGATGGCCCATGAGGTGCTGGGGTTCTGTGCACATTAAGGGTTGGATGTCTTAACTCTTGTTGCTAGGGGAGGTGGCCTGACTCAGGGCCTGGTGGGTGCTGTGTTCCAGGTGGACACGCACATCCATGCGGCTGCCTGCATGAACCAAAAGCATCTGCTGCGCTTCATCAAGCACACGTACCAGACGGAGCCTGACAGGACTGTGGCGGAGAAGCGGGGCCAGAAGATCACCCTGCGGCAGGTGTTTGACAGCCTGCACATGGACCCCTACGACCTCACTGTGGACTCGCTGGATGTCCACGCGGTGAGTGAGCTTCCGCTCCAGTGCCGCCAGCAGACAGCAGCCCTGGCTGGGGACTCAGCCCCCTGAAAAGCCACCGTGATTGTGCTTGCGGGGAGGCTCTATGGAAGCAACTCTTTCTCTTCTATCTGACTAAGAGATCGTGTGGCCTCAGAGAATAACAGGTCTGGGGCAGCCATAGAACAGGGAAAGAGGGTGTGTGGCTTGGGGCCCGACAGGTCTAAGCACTAATCCCACTCCTGCCACTTAGGAGTTTTGTGCCTTTAGGCAACTCACAGAAGCTTTTATTTCCTTGCCTATAAAATGGTGACAGCCATGTGCCTTATTCACTTTTAAAAAAATATTGAAACACTAAATGATAGTGTAACTGCTATGGAAAACAGTATGGTAGTTCCTAAGAAAGTTATGTATAGAATTACCTGTGCCTCAGCAATTCACTTCTAGGTATATACCCAAAAGAACTGAAAGCAGGAACTTGAACAGATACTCACATACCAATGTTCATAGCAGTATTATTCATAGCAGCCAACAGATAGAAACAGCCCGTGTTCATCAACAGATGAATGGGTAAACAAAATGTGGTATATCCATACCATGGAATATCGTTCAGCCATAAGAAGGAGTAAAGTACTGATACATGCAACAACCATCAATGAACTTTTCAAAAGATTACACTAAATCGAAGCCAGACTCAAAAGGACAAATATCATGTGATTCCACTGATATAAGGTACCTAGAATAGGCAAATTCATAGAAATAGAAAGGAGAATAGAAGTTACCAGGGGCAGGCGAGAGGAAGGCATGGGGAGTTAGTTGAGTGGGTATAGACTTTGGGATGATAAAAAAAGTTCTGGAAATGGTTAGTGGTGATGGTTGCACACCAGTGTCAATGTACTTAAAGCCACTGGAACTGTACAGTTAAAAATGGTCGAAATGGTAAATGTTGTGTTGTGCATGCTTTATTAGAACAAAAAAACCCTTTGTTAAACAGAACATTGAATGATATAATATGGAGAAAGTGCTTTACAAAATGTGAGCAGTAATGGGGAATGCTCTATTATTCAGTGGTCCAGCCTCTCTGCTCACTAAGCCAGCCGTGTCCCAAGCTGAGCTGTGGTGACTTGCAGATGGGGCCCCTGCTGTTCCTTCACAGGGGGCCTTGCCAAAGCATCCCAAGCTGACCGAGTAAGGATCCATGGTCCTGGTTCCCAGGAGTTTCTAAGGTTTCATGCAAGAATTGACATAGAAGATGTCTTTCGGTGTGGCCATACAGAAGGTCGTCTCGTAAAGGTCTAGAGAGGGGAATGTGCGTGGTGGCTGCAGAATGATGCGTCGATTGGTGTGGTCTCCTCCCGCAGGGCCGGCAGACATTCCACCGCTTTGACAAGTTCAACTCCAAATACAACCCTGTGGGGGCCAGTGAGCTGCGTGACCTGTATTTGAAAACTGAAAACTATCTGGGAGGAGAGTACTTTGCTCGGATGGTCAAGGTGAGTGAACCCTCAGTCTCTCTAAGGCCTCTCAGGTGCCTGCCAACATCTGCCTTCAGAGAGTGGGGGCCCTGTGTGCCCCTGGCTCCTTTCCCTCCCTTTGTTCACCATCAGCGCAGGGAAGGGTGAGGTGCCCAGGTGCCCAGTGCTGTGGCCTCCAGAGGGTGGGGGCCCTGTGTGCCCCTGGCTCCTTTCCCTCCCTCTGTCCACCATCAACTCAGGCAAGGGTGAGGTGCTCAGGTGCCCAGTGCTGTGGCCTGGCTGCCTGCTCCAGGCAGTGCTGCATGTGCCAACTGCAGGGAAGAGGAGGGAAGGGTATCCACCTTGGACGAGCTCACAGCACCTGGCCTGGCTTTCCTGTCTCTGCAGCATGAACCCGGCTGGGTGCAGATGAGCTCCGTGTGGAGATGCTTCTGCTGTGGCCTGGTTCTGCAGACCCAAGGCCTTCCTCCCCAGAGGGAGCTTCTGCTAAAGTGGAACAAGAGCTTACAGGAGCAGGGAGCCCTGGGGATTTAGATCAGTGCTTCCAGACTGGGAACAAGGTGGCTGGGGGAGCCACAGGACCCTGCTGGTGATGGAGAGTGAGGGTCTCCTATGTAGCTGGGATGCACTGGGGCTGACCCAAGCTCTTCTTATGCCAGGAGGTTGCCCGGGAGCTGGAGGAGAGCAAATACCAGTACTCAGAGCCACGGCTCTCCATCTACGGCCGCAGTCCTGAGGAGTGGCCCAACCTGGCCCGCTGGTTCATCCAGCACAAGGTCTACTCTCCCAACATGCGCTGGATCATCCAGGTGCCCCGGATCTAGTAAGTCAGGTGGCCCCGCTGTCTGCCCTGTGCCCTACGGAGGTGACAGTCTGTCCCTCGTGGGCTGCTGAATCTGCACTCCGGAGAGGTAGGGCCTGTTCTGGTGCCAGCTTAGGCTTGTCCTTTCCACGGATTTTTCCATGGAAGGAGTGATAAGCAAAGATGTCTGCATGATACTAGAACTCTTTTTTTTTTTTTTTTTGAAACAGAGTCTCACTCTGTCACCCAGGCTCTGAGTGTAGTGGTGTGATCTTGGCTCACTGCAACCTCCACCTCCCTGTTTCAAGCAATTCTTTGCCTCAGCCTCCCGGGTAGCAGGGATTACAGACACCCGCCACCGCGTCTGGCTAATTTTTGTATTTTTAGTAGAGATGGGGTTTCACCATCTTGGCCAGGCTGGTCTTGAACTCCTGATCTCGTGATCCACCTGCTTCAGCTTCCCAAAATGCTGGGATTACAGGTGTGAGCCACCGCGTCCGGCCGACACTAGAACTCTTGATCTTTGAAAAATATAGCAGTGCAAAAGCCTTGGGGGAACAACCATCCTCACCTTCTTCTCATTATGGGTTGAGGATGGATTGTCCTTTTGGTGAGACCCGGAGTATGGGGAGAGCTGGTGGTGGTCTACATTGCTGGCCCTCTCCCTGGATGTCACTCAGATGACTGCTGTCCTCTCCAGGTGGCTGGCCAGAGTGGAGCCCATGGCTCCAGGATGGACTGGGGTATGTGGTTTAGGGAAACAGAGCTGAGTAACAGAATGTTTGGGTCACTGGGAGTTTGAGGACTCATATCTCAGCCTGTTGGTCAGCCAGAATGCCAACATCCCACTCCCAGTGGCTTCTGGCTTGAGAAAGTGCTCTGATGGGCGTGGGTAGGTGTGGAGCTTGCAAACCAAGGCAGAGTATTGCAGACATTGCTGGGAGAGGAGGAGAGAGGAGGGATCTGTGTTCAGGCCACATCTGACTTGACTCTGGGTGTTTGATGGGGACACAGGGTGCCTGAGGAAGTGACTGGGGCTGCTCTCTGACAGGGCAGCGGGCTGTTGGATCCACCTGATAAGCGAGTCTTTGCTGTCCCCCAGCGATATATTTAGGTCGAAGAAGCTGCTGCCAAACTTTGGGAAGATGCTGGAGAACATCTTCCTGCCCCTTTTTGAGGCTACGATCAACCCCCAAGATCATCGAGAGCTTCACCTCTTCCTTAAATATGTAAGTGTGGGTGGTGCCCCAGGCAGGGCTCATAGTGGCAGGAATGGATTCGCTGTGAGCTGGGTCAGGTTTGCTCCCGCCCTTCACCGAGGTATCTCAGGTCCTGCCACCTGTGATCCAGGCATGGGGTCACCAGCCCCAAGAAGCTGGATTTCTAAAAAGTCCCCTTCCCCTCAGGGGCAACTCTGGGAGTCGTGGGTGGCGGGGTTGGGGGGTCTTGGGGCAGGCCTTTCCAGAGAGGAAGGCAACAGTGGACAAAGACTGGGAACTCGGTTCCTGCCAGGTGGGGCTGGAAAGGCTGGATCTAGCCCCCGACAGCACCAAGCAGCAGCCTCAGGTTTTTTTTTTTTTTTTTTTAGAAATGCAGACACTTTAATTCACCTGCTTTACCAGCAACAAAGGTCCTCACACCATGTGTGATTAAGTACAAACCGCCAAAACGTATTTCCTTTCCAGATTCAGTTAGTTGTAGGAGAAGGAGAGGAGCAGTCTGGGAGAGACTTAACCAGGGAGGGAGGGAGAGGGGGCGGGAGCCAGTCCCTCCCTCTGATGCCTGGCATCCAGGGGGTATCAGATGGTGATACAGGCCAGTGCCCGGTGATGGATGACTTTCTACAGGGAGAGGTGCAGGGGGGAGCCCGAGGGCTGGGGCATGTGTGTGATCATGTGTGTGATCACAGGGGAAGGATTGAGTCTGTGTGCCCAGAAAGTGATTGGACAAGCTGAGGGACATCATCGAATTTATGCTTTAGACAAACATATTCTGGCTGTTGTGTGGAGATGGCCCAGAAGAGAAGGTAGCTGGAGGTGGGGGCAAGGGTGAGAGTCAGGGGCCTGCCTGGGGACAGGAGGGGAGCTTGACCCAGTGGAAACAGCTCACACTCGTGTGTGCTGCCTGGCCTGGTCAGACGCCACGATGTGATCTCACCTAAGCCTCACAATTACCCCATTACTATCACCATTTTGTTGTTAACAATAAGCAGAATTATTATGTGCTTGGTGTGTGTTGGACATGGTGTTAAGTGCTCTCCCTGGATTATCTCATTTAATCCTCGCCAAAGCCCTGTGAAGCTGCTAGCTCCAATTGACACACAAGGAAATTAAAACAGATCATAAAGCTAAAAGTGGCAGAGCTGGAATGCGTGTCCAGGCAGGCTGACTCCAGCGATGTGCCCCGAACCTCTATTCTATGTTGCCTCCCAAGTGAGAACAGTGAGGTGCACAGCAGCTACCAGCTTGTGTCTCTGAGGTGTGGCAGTGCAGGGACTCTGTACAGAGTGTGGGGTTTGGTGAGAAGGGGTGGGTGTAGACCTGGCAGGACTTGGACAGAGAGTGAAGGAGGCATTGGGGGGAGTCTAGGATGCCTCCCAGGTGCCTGGCTTTGCAGGAGCATGGATGGCGCACTGTTCGAAGGTTGCTGCCAGCAGTGGAAGAAGAGCAGGTGTGGGGAGGAGGAGGAGCAGGAGGAGGAGACAACGTATTTTGCGCCCGAGGCTGTGGGAGATGCAGTGGTGAGGCCCTGCTTCAGCTGGATAGAGCTCAGAAGAGAGGCTAAAGTTATACCCATGTCAGGCCCCAGAAAGTTTGGGTGAAGTTTGGGGCTAGTAAGCATAGAGCAGAGCTCACGGTCCTCCCTGGCCCCCCAAACCCGTCTAGGGCGTGCTTAGGGTCATAGCAGGGACCCTGTCATTTCCTTTGACACACAGGGCTCTGTGACACGGAAGATTCTGGCCAAGACCCTCATGCTGCCTTGCTCCTCTGGGCCCTTGCTGCCCCCAGTAGGAACAGGAGAAGCCGGCAGACCTGGCTGGGGCCTGGGGCCTGGGCTGGGAGCCCCCCAGTTTGGGCCAGTTGTGGATTAAGGGGGACAGTCTCTTTCTCCCTTCTGCTATTCAGAGGCCCCTTTGCAAAGCACTGCCGTGGCCTGGTAGCAAGCCTTCCCTCTGCGCTGAGAGCCCGCACGCTCCATGAATGTGGTCTTGGTTGGGGATGACCTCTGGGATCAGCCAGAAGGCTCCAGTGACTCGGGAGGGGCCCCCAGGGGTCTCAGCTAAGCTAGAACTGCAGTGGAAGGGTGGGGGTTTCCTGAGGCTACTCAGACCCATCTCAGAGGGCAGCTCCCAGTGGGGATCGGAGAGCAGAGCTGCCTCCCAGGAGCCACGGCTTAGCCCAGCAAGGACCCTCTTGTCTGTCTGTGAGGCAGCTGGGTGGTTTCTCCTGGGTTCACCTGGACATGCGCTAGGGTATCCTCCAACTACAGCCCCAAGGAGTGCAGACCCAGAGACCAGAACCAATTTTTTTTTTTCAGATGGGGTCTTGCTCTGTCACCCAGTCTGGAATGCAGTGGTGCAATCTCGGCTCACTGCAACCTCCACCTCCTGGGTTCAAGCAATTCTTCTGCCTCAGCCTCCTAGTAGCTGGGATTACAGATGTGTGCCACCATGCCTGGCTAATTTTTGTGTTTTTTTTTAGTAGAGACTGGGTTTCACCATGTTGGGCGGGCTGGCCTTGAACTCCTGACCTCGTGATCTGCCTGCCTCAGCCTCCCAAAGTGCTGGGATTACAGGTGTGAGCCACCGTGCCTGGCCGAACCTGGTTCCTTGAGCGACTTTCTTCGTTGCCTTGGCCCTGGTTTGCTCAACTGTAAAATGGGGCTGGCAGCCAAGCCCTCCCTCCCCAGTTGCTCTGAGTATGAATTAACTGATGTGAGTGAAGTGCTTCGAGCAGGGCCTGATGCGTGATGTGTACTAGGACCCTTCCCCCTCACAGCTTGTCGCTGCTGCTGATGGCAGTGACTGCTGCTCCCTGCAGGCTGACCTCAGCACAGCAGAGGGGCAGGTGGTGGGCATGGCTGGCTCACCCTTCACCTGGCTTGGCAGTTTCCCCCACTGTCACCACCACCACACAGGGGCTTGGCACTCTCCTGTCTCACCTCCAGAGTACCTATGGATGCTCCGAAGGGGCAGAACTTGGTGTTGCACTCACTTTTCATCCCTGGGAGGAATGTGGCCTCAGCTAGGCTAAGGGGTCCCCAGCTGAGGTGTGAACCTGAGGGGCCCAGACCCCCAGGCCTCTGGCAGTTATGAGCCCCGGGAGGCTGAGCCGAGACGGAGTCCTTGGTGCTCAGGACCTCTCCTCCTGCCCAGGTGACGGGGTTCGACAGCGTGGATGATGAGTCCAAGCACAGCGACCACATGTTTTCTGACAAGAGCCCGAGCCCGGATGTCTGGACCAGCGAGCAGAACCCACCCTACAGCTACTACCTGTACTACATGTATGCCAACATCATGGTGCTCAACAACCTCCGCAGGTGCGTGACGCCTGCCCTCGCACACGCTTGGGTTCATGTGTTAGCATGTGCACACATGCACACACTCATGCATGTGATCCTTGTGTCCATGTGCACCTGAACCAACACGCGTGTCCATGTGCCCACATACCTCAAAACACACAGCACTTTCCAGCCTGCTATGTGAGGCGTGTCTCCACATGATCACACACATGCAAACATGCCCACCATAACACACATACCAGTACAGACATATGTCATGTACAGTATGCAATGCAGCCACAGTCCACACGTGTCTACACGTTTATATGTACACACACCAGTGCACACTCCATGTGTACCTGTACATCCCTGAGATAACAGAAGCATAGGACATGCTATCACACACATGCATGTTCACTTACTGCCACACTAACAATATCCACATGTGCATATTTTCGTTCAGCAAATCACTGGCATGCGATAGGCACTACCCTGGGCACTGGACAAATAACAGGGAAAAAACAGACTAAATCCATGCACGCCCTTACAGGCAGAGGTCTTACAGGCAGAGGCTCCCACCAATATGCACACAGACGAGGCACATGTGGCCAGGAGTTAGCTACCCAGGGCAGCAGGACACCAAGCTATTCCCTTCCCTACAAGTCTTGCATCCCACTTTCCCCTGCTGGGCCCTGGGGCCTCTCTAGCTCAGCCTAAACTGGTGTTAGTTGGTGGGTGTGGAGGTTTTGAATGGGGTCCTGACTGAAAGAAATGGCCTGGCAGGGTGGAGGCAGTCCTGGGCTGAGCTTTTGGAGATCGGGGCTCTGGTTCTGGCTTTGCCACTGACCTGTTCAGTGGCGTGGAACATAGACTTCACTCTCCGAGCCTTGGTTTGCTCATTTCCATAACACAGAGGTCAGACTCCATGGTTTCTCATGGCCTTCCCTGCCCTGCAGTTCTGCGAATGCGGGACACGAGGCCAGGAGAGGAAGACAGGAGAGTGGCTGGAGGGCACAGCAGGGTCCCTTTCTACCGCGAGGCCCACTCTCTGCCGGTAGAGGTGATGCTTCTTGGTTCTAAGGGGTTCTGGGGCCTGGGCCTCTGCATTTTAGGAGAGGTAGTTTCCAGGGTGCACTGGGTCAGCACAGCTGACCGTAGGTGGTCATTCCCCCTGGAGCTGACCCTGAGCTGAGGCTGCAGGCCCCAGGCAGAGCCAACTGGGGGGGGCCTTCCTGATTCGGGGCCCCTTCTCTTACAGGGAGCGCGGCCTGAGCACGTTCCTGTTCCGGCCGCACTGTGGGGAGGCCGGCTCCATCACCCACCTGGTGTCTGCCTTCCTTACTGCTGACAACATTTCCCATGGGCTGCTCCTTAAGAAGGTAAACAGGCCACTCTTGGGAGCCTGCCCTGAGTGACTGCCCTGCCTTGGGCTTCTGGGAGGCTCGGCCAGTGAGGCCAGAAGGCTGGGCCCTCTTCTGGGCTGGGATGTCTGTCCTTATCTTGGTTTTATTTTTAATTATGAAAGTAATGTAATCAAACTCATTGCAATTTCGATTTTCCAAATACTGGAGAAATGAAAAAAAGCCAGTCCTTATTGCTATTACTTTAATAGAACTAGCCATTATTAGCTTTTTAGTATATCTAATTTCCATCTTTTATCCACAGCATATTTTTAATGTGTTTATTATCATAATGAACACAGGATTTAGTTCCTGCCTTGTCCCTTATTGTTGTATGACAAGCATTTTTTGACGCTGCAACATAATGTCTATGCTTTTCCTTCCAAAGGCTGTTGTAGGATGAAGGGTCTGCCACTTTATCTGTAATTGACTCAACCAGTCCACACTAGTTGGACACAGAGTCCATCCACCTTTTCACTGGTGTACCCTTGAGCTCTGTGCATGCAGTCTTCTCCATATTTTGGATCACTTTCCACTGGCACGCTGTTTGATCAAAATGCTCCCTTTCCCTGATGCCGGTGAGGTGTAACCATGGGTCACGTGTTTGGGTAGGGTGGGTGCTACAGTAGAACGCCACTCTGTCCCGGGCAGGTCCGCCCTTCCCATCCCTCCAGGGATCATCTCCCGGGAGCTGGAGTGTTTATAGTCTCAGCCTGGCTGTTTGCAGTCAAAGCAACAAAACAACTAAAGTGGGGCATCTTCTAGACTAGGTCCCTGCCTAGAGGCAAGGAGCTGAAGGTATAGGCTGGAGTGGGCTGCCCTTCCTGCCCTGAGCCTTGCCTCCAGTTTGGAGCAAGAGTGAGCGCTTCCAAAAATAGGTAGAGGCACCAGGGAGGGCTGGCATGCAATGCAGGAACGAGATGAACAGTGGGGAAGAGGGAGAGTGGGTCTGAGTGTCCTTGCTTCCAGGAACTCGGCTTGAGGACTTGGGCAGACACCGTTCAGACCCCTGGTTTCCACTGGTGAATGCTTCTTCCCTCCCTTTCTCCCTTCCCTTTTCCCTTCTCCCCTCTCTGGCACTTGTCACATGAGTTTGATGGTTCTTTTGCAGAGTCCGGTATTGCAGTATCTCTACTACCTTGCTCAGATCCCCATTGCTATGTCTCCTCTTAGCAATAACAGTTTGTTCCTCGAATATTCCAAGAACCCTCTGAGGGAATTCCTGCACAAGGGACTGCACGTTTCTCTTTCCACCGATGACCCTATGCAGTTCCACTACACAAAGGTGAGGACTTTGGGGTGAGGACAGTAGTGCCTCAGTAGGCACCAGTCCTAGCCTGTCTTCCCATTTTAGGGACCCGAGCCCTTGGCTCAGTTCTGCTTTTGGGGTGGGGCTGGTGGCCCAGTGAAGGCAAAAAGGAAGCCACTGTTGGGGGAAAATTTTGCCTTCCAGGAGCCCTTTCTTTGGGGTTCTTGAACCCTCAAAGGCACAATTTAGTATCTTTGCCTTCCTCTATTTTTCCTTTCTTTGACATTTGTGAGCTCTGTGACCTTGGTAAAGTTATTAGACCTCTGGATCAAGTTTCTCTTCATCTGTAAAATGGAGATAAAATTGTCTCTATCCCTACCCTGTGAGGATTCATGAAGATAATGAATCGAAGGATTTAATATAGTGTTTGCATATATTCAAAATAGTTGCTACCTTTTAAGTCAATGCTATTATAATTTCTACACTTTGGGTCTCTGGGAAAAGAAAAGAGGAAGGTAAAAGTGGTGTCATGCATGGGTACCAGCCGCAAGTGCACCCAGCATGTTTTGATAGTGTTGACAAGACCAGCCATTGCTTAACAAAAACAGAAGCACCAGAGTCTTTTAGGACAGAGGTTCTCCAACCTCTTGGTCTCTAGACCCCTTTATACTCTTAAGAATTGAAGCTTTCAAATACCTGTTGTTTATGTGGGTTATATCTACTGATATTTACCATGTTAGAAATGAATAAGAAATTTAAAAATATTTATTATCTCATTTAAAAACCACATCAATAAACCAATGAAATGTTACATAATAACAATTTTTTTTTCCTGAAAAGTAAGTTTCCCCTGCCTTTGTGTTGCATTTTTAAGCCTCTTTAATGTCTTAATGGAAGTCAGCAGGACTCTCCTAGCCACTTTTGCATTCAATTTTTTTTTAATCAAAATATGTAAAAATAGAAATCTTGCCTCATGAAAATACATAATGGGAAAAGAGAAGACCTTTCAAAAAGTCTTAGGACCCTCAAGGATCCTTGACCTGTACTTCGAGAACCATTGCTGTAGGCTACAGCGGCAGTGGGGTGGGGAAGAGGTCACAGAGGGTTTGTGATGAATAGACACTTCACATCCCAGAAGGGAAGCAAAACCACAGCTCAAACCCAGATCCTTCTGGGATTACACCATTTTACTGCTTATCCTATGATCACTTCTCTCTTTTTTTTTTTTTGATGTTCTATCTCTGCTTTTAGTACTTTATCTATCTATCTATCTCTCTATCTATCTATCTATCTATCTATCTATCTATCTATCTATCTATCTATCTATCTATCTATGGCGAACTTAAGAAAATAGTGTGTTAGAAAGAAAAGCTAGAGGGCAAGTGCTAAAAGTGGTATGACTAGAGGCTTGTCACAGGACAGCAGAGACTGCCATCCCTGATGACTGGCACAGGGCTTCAACATGAGCTCTCAGTGCTGGTCAATGAACAAATGTGGAGGCGTGAGTTCAGATTTCTCTTTGACAACCCATGATTTCACAGAAGAAAAGATCTTAGGTGTTGAAGGTGTGATGTTTGATGATCCAGGTGTCATTCAGTGAGGAAAAGTTAAACCTGCAGTGTCTGATGTTGTTAGCTTTGGACGTGTGTGAACGATTGACATGGAAATCCTCCTGTCTAATCCACATGCTTTGTTGGGGGGTCTAGGAAGCACTTATGGAAGAATATGCCATTGCAGCTCAAGTGTGGAAGCTGAGCACCTGCGACCTGTGTGAGATTGCCAGGAACAGCGTGCTGCAGAGCGGCCTCTCGCATCAGGTATGGAGTGTGACGGTGCTGCCTGTGTCCCTCCTGGGAAGGCTGCCTGCCGTGTGCCAGGAGCCTTCCAGGCACTGGGGATCTGTGATGAACACAGCAGGCAGGGCCTCTGAGACACTCAGGCACAGGGAGAGAAAACGTGGCAGCCTCCTGCGTTTTCATAGTTGCTTCCTCACCCTTCTCAGACCTCTACGCCTCCTTGGAGAGGCCTTCCCTGATTGCCCATTCTAAAGTAGTCACACACTTGCTATTATTCTCTATCCCCTTAATCTGTTTTTCTCCATACCATTTATTCCTGCAGATATTTAGTTTTGTGTTTTTCTGTCTTTCCCTCTAGAATGTAAGCTCTGTGAGGGCAGAGGCTTGTTCAGAATTATATCCCTGAGCCCTAGATAGTCCCTGGCACATAGCAGGCATTCAATATTTCTTGAATAGACGAACAGTATCTAGACTGAATAAAAATCTAGACTATGGGACCTAGACATCGTCATTTTTAAAAAGCCCCGTAAGTAATTCTGATGTGGAGCTAGCACTGAGACCCATGTTCTGATGTATCTTAGGTCCCCCGACACCTCCCTGGGTGATGTCACTGGTTAGGGAGAGGTTGCATTAGGGCCTGTGCTTGTCAGATGATGATGCAGCAGAGTTAAAGGCTTAAGATTCTTTTCATGTGCAGTGTGGTGCCTTGGATTGGCCCTCCCCAGAAACATTGTCTGTCCTTGTCAGCTCTCAGGAGGGACTTTTTTTTTTTTGAGATGGAGTCTCGCTCTGTCGCCCGGGCTGGAGTGCAGTGGTGCGATCTCGGCTCAATGCAAGCTCCGCCTCCCGGGTTCACGCCATTCTTCGGCCTCAGCCTCCCGAGTAGCTGGGACTACAGGCACCTGCTACCATGCTCAGCTGATTTTTTGTATTTTTAGTAGAGATGGGGTTTCACCACGTTAGCCAGGATGGTCTTAATCTCCCGACCTCGTGATCTGCCTGCCTCAGCCTCCCAAAGTGTTGGGATTACAGGTGTGAGCCACCACGTCCAGCCAGGAGGGACTTCTTAATTAGACTTACCTCCTTCCCCTTGCCTTTCCCATCCCCAGCAGCTGCTGCAAACCTTATCTTTCCTCTCTGATCAAGGAAAGCACAGCCAGGAATGAAGGGTTGTCTGAGGATGACTGAGGTTGTCAGGGTGACATCCTTGAGGACACAGAGGCCAGGAGGAATTTTATGAGTTCTGTGGGGATAAGATGTCCTGACTAAAGATCTGCTTCAGGGGGACTAGTCTGATTTGCTGTGACTGATGTCAAAGCTGCCTACATGGCTATAGAAAGTGAATCAAAAGTACATCGTTTCATTTGTATTTCTCTTGGTTCACAGGAAAAGCAAAAGTTTCTGGGACAAAATTATTATAAAGAAGGACCTGAAGGAAATGATATTCGAAAGACAAATGTGGCTCAGATCCGGATGGCATTCCGATATGAGACCTTATGCAATGAGCTCAGCTTCCTGTCTGATGCTATGAAATCAGAAGAGATCACTGCCTTGACCAAATAGGTCCAGCATTTGACATGCATTTTAACTTTTTGGTTCAATTTCAAGTCTGCTGTGGCTAATAGTGGTCAAGATTCTAAACTAGGACTTTCCTCTGTTAAGAGGATGCCTCTGAAGAAATTTTAAACTGGTGATTTTGGTTGCACTGCTCACTTTAAGATTTAACATGCTCACTTGTATTTCTGAGTAACAAGATGGTGACTTCTCCTTGGGGATCTGGGAGCTGAGCACTTGTCTATACTTGTTCTCAATTTTCCAATTATTTCTCTTGAAACTGCCAATGCCTGAACTGTTGGGGCCAGGATTTTCCACGGTCAGATGCCAAGTAACATGAGGTCTGTGTGGTTTTCTGCCATACTTTTCTCCATTGGCCCGAGTAGGCTTATTGGTAGTTGTTCATTTCAGCCTCTGGATGGCTGGCTGCCTTAAACACAATCAGTTTCAAAGCTCCATTTCATAAAAGGGCTACTTTGAGGGAGTTAAGATGGAAGACTTCCTTCTTGATAATTTGTGTTTTTAGTGAATTTCTTAAACCGTTTTATCTAGCCCTCTTCCCCCATTTCTAGTTGGAAGCCAAATGTACTCATGAAAACAGCCACTCCTATTCTTTTTTTTTTTTGAGTTGAAGTCTCGCTCTGTTGCCCAGGCTGGAGTGCAGTGGCGTGGTCTTGGCTCACTGCAAGCTCCACCTCCCGGGTTCACGCCATTCTCCTGCCTCAGCCTCCCGAGTAGGTGGGACTACGGGCGCCCGCCACCACGCCTGGCTAATTTTTTGTATTTTTAGTAGAGATGGGGTTTCACCGTGTTAGCCAAGATGGTCTCGATCTCCTGACCTCATGATCTGCCCACCTCGGCCTCCCAAAGCAGCCACTCCTATTCTGAGTCTTGGTTTCTTCACCTAGAAAGTGAGGGTTTGGACTAGACAAGTGGCGTTCAGGGTGTTCTGTGAATCCCCTCATGAATACTTTAGGGTGGGGGACGGAAGGGAGTGAGTGATGCTCAGGGGCTGTCAAACTGACTCTGGTTCATCAGTTTCACACCGGGGCTGCTACATAATACTTTTGTCTGAATGAAGAACTTCAAAAAGCACAGGACTGGATGACCTCTGTTCCTTTCGGCTCTAATATGCTACAACTGTAGGCCAATTATCACTTTACCAGTTAAGAGTTAGGCCAGATAAGTGAAATTTTACTGAAGGTCACACAGCTATTAAGTAATAGGCCTACAACTGGATTTTCTTATTCCAAATCCTGTCTTTTCCCCACTATTCCATTAGACCCCACAAATGTTAGTTGTGTGTGTGTGCGTGTGTTTTTTTTAAATCACTGTAACCGGGTGCATTTTTTTAAGGCAAAATTTCTCCCTTACCTACTATGATGACTTCAGAAGATACAATGGTCCCAGGGGCCAGGTAGAAAGCATTTTAAAGACCAATCTGAATTAAGCTTTATCAATGTGCTCTTCATCTGTGTTACTAGTGCCTGGTATGTAGTAGGTGCTCAATAAATGCATATTGAATGACTAAGTGAATTTCTTTTGGCAACTTTTTAAGGACATGTGCTCTTAGTACTCAAGAGGCTGCTCAAGGACCTTCCTATCTATTTCTGTGGTCAAATTCAGACTACAGGAGGTTTTTTTGAATCATTATATTTAGAAGAACCCGATTTCTGCCTGTGAACTTATCTGACTTTAGACTGTCTCATCTTGTGACTTTACAATGCCTGGTCAATTCAGCATATGGAACTACAAATGCAGTCTTTTTATTAGGCAGATATATATGCTATCTTGCAGCTAATTATGAAATTGAGTGAAAATCCATTGTTATCTTAGGGATTAGTTGTGAAAAGCCCCTATTTGTATACATTTGCCCTAACATAGGAAGTATTGTATAGTTTCTCATTGTCATTTTATCTGTATCAAGTATCTTTTAATTGTTAAATAAAGTCTGCTAGGACTGTGGCTCAATAATTTAAAACTAAGGATAATCATATTTAAAGCAAATGTTAAAGTTTTTTTACTCTTAAGATTGGGCACCATGAAAAGCTATCAATAATAATAGCTAATTTATCTTTTACTAAGACTCAGACATGAATGACATTCACTAGGAAAACTCAAAATTTTCAAACTGAAGCTCACTAGACCCGGAAGATAAATCTTTTGTTATCTTCTCTAACTTCTACCCTGTTATAGTTCATGAGCAAACTACACACGTTCATTTCCGTTTCCCGGGATATTATTTTAGTCTGTCCAGCTAACACCATGTTGGATTTTACCTGTCCTGCAAGCTTTTCCGACATCTTTTCTATAGCACTTTGTGCTTTTATTACATTGTTATACTTAATTGGCCTTTTGGGGGACAAATCCCTGCTTTCCTTTGTGTTTGCAATTGGAATAAAAGGTAATTAATAGCATACTGGCTCAGTTTCGAAAGGAACAGTTTTTGAGGCAGTTTTCCCTTCCTTATCCTTAAGGGCTCAAGTTCCCTTTATGTGTTACTTCAAATTGTACCGTTGAAATGATCGCCATCATTGCTCTTTGCCTCATGGAAACAAATCACAGTCCCTGGGTTGATATTTCTCATGGCCTCTTGGATTAAAAAAGAGCTGAAAGCACATTTCTCCTGCTTTCTCTTTACTTCTGAGTGTTGGTGAAACAATATTCTTCATTTCCTGGGTTTGAGACATGACTGAAGGTGATATACCCAAATACTCTCTGCCTAAACTATGACCGTTATAAAGAACAAGTGTAACTAATTCCAATAAAAGGAATACTAACCAGATAAACCTAGTTCCTTGGAAATTTTTGCAATTAGTAAGGTAGAAGATGACAGAGCTGCAAGAGTGTCAAAACCTATCTCTGCAAAGGCTTTTATATATTTTGACAGTAAAATGTGCATTTCTCCACAGTATGATGATACAGTCAATTTAACTACCAACTGCCACTCATTCTTATGTCTTTGCACTTTTCAGCACTGAGATTCTATGATGTTTCTCTAATTACATTCTTATATTTTGTAAACAATTTTACATGGTAAACAAACTACAATAGGGTTGAGCATTTTATTTTTACTGTCTGTTGGGGTAGGGGTCCACAACCCCTGGGCTGTGGACAGTACTGGTCTGCTGCCTGTTAGGAACCAGGCTGCACAGCAGGAGTTGAGCCGCAGACGAGTGAGCATTACTGCCTGAGCTCCACCTGCTGCCAGATCAGCAGCGCTATCAGATTCTCAAGGAGCGTGAACTCTGTTGTGAACTGCACATACAAGGGATCTAGGTTGCATGCACCTTATGAGACTCTAACTAATGCCTGATGATCTGAGGTGGAACAGTTTCATCCCGAAACTATTCCCACCCCACCCCTGGTCTGTGGAAAAATGGTCTTCCATGAACGCAGTCCCTGGGGCCAAAAAGGTTGAGGACCACTACGGGAGGGTGAGAAGACATAAGATTGAGTCTATTGTCAGCTGCTTATATTATATTGTCATTGCGTGGCCCAGCATAAATGTGAGTGACCTGTTGACTTCCCTAATCTCCAAGTAGTTTTCTTATTCCTGGACTTGACTTCAGACAATAACAGTTAAAATGGAAATTCTTTAGACTATCTTTTAATAAACTCAACTTCCCAATGTTAAAAATCACCAAATCAAAAGCTATTTTCAAGCAGCCTTTTCTCCCAGATATATATTAGATATAAGGAAATCAAGTCCATTTTGAAATGAATTTTAAAACAGCACACAAACATTACAAGCCCCCAGCACACAATATAAAATAGTTCTCTGCGGAATATAAACATGTAGTATATTAGAATGTGAAATTACGTAAGAAAAGAATCTCTTCAATTAGCTAAAATTACTTGCGAAAGATTATTTATTGCACAATTTATCAGTGGGTACTAAGAATAACACAGATACTATTATTCTCAACCTCTAAATTCAGTACATAGTAAAATTCATTTTCTCAAACTAAGGTTCTATACATAATCAGAGTAAACCCTGTTATTGAGTTAGGATAGGGAAAACAAATTCCTTGAGTTCATGAAACCACTTCACAAATCCTAGAAGGCACACATTATATTTCCTATCATGGTAAGTACATTTAAGTACTTCATATTTAAAAAAGACAAAGCTGTACAGAATACAAAAAGTGTACATTTCATCCATTAAACAAATTTACAACTTCTATGATTAGTTATTACAGTAGAACTGACCTAACATTCACATCTAAATAATTATCACCCAGTTTAATAGAGCGAACAAAGAGCTGTGCTCATTTATTTGCTAAGGCTATAATAACATTTTATATTCACAGTAGATCAGTAAGTGTCTTGGAGCTCACATTGTAAAATAAAAAGGTTTGGGCCCTATTGAGTCACTGGGCTCGATGTTAAATAATTCCTTGAAAGGTGAAGGATTCTGGGGGATAAAATCATTGGCTATCCCTGAAAAGATCCAAAACTCTGTAAGGTAACTTTGTTCACTTTCCAGAAACATTTTAAAATTATGCAAACTGAATTAAACTCAGCAAGTCTAATCTAAAAGGACAATTTAAAATCTTAGAGCTGGAAAAGGTTTCAGTGGATCATCTATCCCAAGGTTTTCAAAATACGTTCCATGGAATACTAAGAATCTATGGAGGAGATACAGGGTTCTGCACATTTGACTTGAATTTAATTAAATTTTTTTTTAAAAAAACAACTCCCACTATATGTGTTACTCACCAAATTCAAACATGCTGGATATCACCAATGCATTAATATGTTTTTATTCATTGACTTAATCACATTTATAGTATATAAAGTTTATACAATAAATAAGGACATTAATATTAATTTGACTTTTATATAGTGGGGTGCAGGGTATGTGTGTATGCACGTGTGTTTAAGGGTTCTGTAAGATTTTCCCTGAAAAAGTTTTTGCTGCTGAAATAGTGTGAAAACCACAAATAAAGTCTCAGTTTCTAAAGTAGGAACCTACAAACAAGAGTAAGAGACTTTCTCAAGGTCGCACAACCACCAAGTGCATTGCCAGGTTGATACGATGGAGCCCCTGGTACTCCGCTTGCATAAACCTCCACGGGGAGTAGTTAGCTATTTGGTATTTAGCTGTCCCATTATGAATGTCAATGGATTAGTCTTCAGTATTTTGGGGGGCAAAATCAAGCTACCTCTGGCCAGATGTTTTTCCTTGAAATTAATTTTATTTGCTTGCCTATTAAAATATTATTATCCAGAAATTCTGTCATCAATAAGTGGCAACTTAAATTGTGTACCCTGGTTTAGGAAAATAGTAATATTTGCAACTTATGAATAAGTCAAAAAATTATATGGAATGTTAAATTTTAAAGGAGACAGGCCCTTGCTTTATTACATGCTGAAATGTTAATTTTAGAAATTTTAGTTCATAAGCAAAAAAAAATGGTTGAGGTGCAACTGAAGATCACAATTCCATTATTACTATATTCTTTCAGAATATTTTAATGGAAAGAGTATTTCAATGAAAGTACTGT